CACACAAATCAAAAACTTGTCCTTTCTCTCCCTCTCTATCTACCTATGTCCTCGTCCTCCTTATTAGCTAATACTACATTCTCCTCCTCCATTCAAATCTGATAAAATTCCTGAGCCATTTCAGAGAATCCTCCAAAAATGCGGCTTTTCGATCTAGCTATGGAGAAACGTATGAGAAAAACGTACGATTTCGAGAAGATGAAAATGTGAATAGAGAAGAAGAAGAAACAAACCCAGAAACAAAAAAGAAGTGAAATTTCGAAGAAGAAGAAGAAGAGAGAGACAGAGAGAAATGTCGGTAGCACACGCAGACGACGCCGACGATTACAGCCGACCAACGGGAGAGACTTACCACGCAGAGAAAGCATTACCGAGTGGAGATTTCTACACAGGACAATGGAGAGACAATCTCCCACACGGACATGGCAAATACCTTTGGACCGATGGTTGTATGTATGTCGGAGAATGGCACAGAGGCAAAACCATGGGCAAAGGTCGTTTCAGTTGGCCCAGTGGTGCAACCTACGAAGGCGATTTCAAAAACGGCTACATGGACGGTAAAGGTAATATCACAAATCCCACAAAAAGCCCCAAACTTTTGATGATTTCAATCGAATAATCTTTTGTGACAACAGGTACTTACATCGATTCGACGGGAGATTTGTATAGAGGATCATGGGTAATGAATCTAAGACACGGACAAGGAACAAAAAGCTACGTCAACGGAGATTGCTACGACGGTGAATGGAGAAGAGGGTTACAAGACGGACATGGAAGGTATCAATGGAAGAACGAGAATCATTACATCGGACAATGGAAGAACGGGATGATGAACGGTAATGGTACAATGATATGGAGCAACGGGAACCGTTACGACGGATCTTGGGATGAATCAGCTCCTAAAGGAAACGGAACATTCCGTTGGTCGGACGGGAGTTTCTACGTCGGAGTTTGGAGCAAAGATCCTAAAGAACAGAACGGGACTTATTACCCTTCAACAACTTCAGGGAATTTCGATTGGCAACCACAACAAGTGTTCTATGTTGATTTGAGTGAATGTGTGGTTTGTACTTGTCAGAGGATACCGGTTTTGCCTTCTCAGAAGATGCCGGTTTGGTACGGTTCTTCGTCGGAGCAGAGTAGTAGTGGGAACAGGACTAAGAACAGTGAGAGGCCTAGGAGGAGATCTGTTGATGGAAGGATTAGTAATGGTGAAATGGAATTGAGGAATAATGGTTCTGGTTATCTTCACGTAGATGATAATAACATTACTGAGAGTAATAGATCACCGTCGTTAGGGAATTTGAGAATACAGCCTGCTAAGAAACAAGGACAGACTATCTCTAAAGGACATAAGAATTACGACCTCATGCTTAACTTGCAGCTCGGGATTAGGTATTTTGTTACGATTTGCTTCTTTGTTTGTGTTTGTTTTGTCATCTTTTTGTTGATTGTTCGGTGTTGTTTGGCAAGACATTCTGTTGGGAGACCAGCTCCGGCTACATCTCTTGATCTAAAAGCTTCGGCTTTCGATCCAAAGGAAAAAGTTTGGACGAAATTTCCATCTGAAGGATCCAAGTACACTCCTCCACACCAGTCTTGTGAGTTTAAATGGAAAGATTATTGTCCTGTGGTTTTCAGGTTAGAGAATTTGCCTTCTTTTGGTTGCTTCATTTCGATTTATTTCTTTATCTTGCTATCGATAAAAATGTTGTTGTGTTTGATATAGGACTCTGCGGAAACTGTTTAGTGTGGATGCAGCAGATTATATGTTATCTATTTGTGGGAATGATGCTCTTAGGGAGCTATCATCTCCAGGGAAAAGTGGAAGCTTTTTCTACTTGACCAACGATGATCGCTACATGATCAAGACTATGAAGAAAGCAGAAACCAAAGTAAGAGCCGAATCAAACCGCAAAAATTATGTTCAATCAAGAGTCACTCATTTGTTTTCCCCTTTGAAACAGGTTCTTATAAGGATGCTTCCGGCCTACTACAATCATGTAAGGGCATGTGAAAACACTTTAGTTACCAAGTTTTTCGGTCTACACTGCGTGAAATTGACTGGCACTGCACAGAAAAAGGTCAAGAACCATTTTTCATTGTATTCATGTCTCTTGTGCACTGAATTGTTCAATTTGGATTTGCTGATGGAGGATAGTTGTTCCTTGCAGGTTCGATTCGTGATAATGGGGAATCTATTCTGTACTGGTTACTCCATCCATAGGCGTTTTGACCTCAAAGGATCTTCTCATGGCCGTCTTACCACTAAACCAGAGTCTGAAATCGATCCAAACACAACGCTTAAAGATCTTGATCTAAATTTCATATTCCGATTGCAGAAAAACTGGTTCCACGAATTCTGCAGGTGCTTGATTGATTACTTCTTGTTATATATGTCTATTCACTTCTTAAATTAGTAAACCCAAATTCGAGTGCTTTTATTTCTTCTTTTGTTAACAGGCAAGTGGACAGAGACTGTGAATTCCTTGAACAAGAGAGAATTATGGATTATAGTCTCTTGGTCGGTCTTCACTTTCGAGAAGCTGCGTTCAAGGAACCTGCCACTCCTCCTTCTGGTGCTCGAACCCCAACCGGTACAATCTTTTAACTCAATTTCCATCTTAGAATGTCGCAAAACCTTTGATTGAAGCAAACTTCATCATCTTATAAGCAGGAAATCCGGATACTCGTCTCTCCCGAGCAGAACTGGACCGGTTTCTTCTTGATGCCAGCAAGTAAATAACCAAAATCTCAATGGTTACTTATACCGCAATGAAAACAGTAACATGGCTTTTTTTAACAATTACAAGTGTGGTTCTTGATGATTTTTTTTACAGGTTAGCATCTATGAAACTGGGTATAAACATGTCTGCAAGAGTTGAAAGAACAGTGAGAAGAAGTGACTGTGAGAATCAGCTTGTTGGTGAACCAACAGGCGAATTTTACGACGTGATTCTCTACTTTGGTGTTATAGACATTCTACAAGACTATGATATAAGCAAGAAGCTTGAACATGCCTACAAATCAATGCAGTATGATCCGACTTCGATCTCAGCCGTTGATCCAAAGCAATACTCTCGACGTTTCAGAGATTTCATCTTCAAGATCTTCGTTGAAGACACTTGAGTAAAACAATCACACGTCCAAGAGATCCAACAAAGTTAAAAAAAGGTTTTCATTTTTTGTTAGAATTTTTCTATATAGAAATATTTGTAAATTTAATTATTTATTTAACCAAAAATCTATTCAAATTAGTAGAGAAAATTTGATTCTTTTGTAACTAAAAAAGTTCAATACTCTGCA